CCAATCGATCAAATTCGATAAAAATTTTTTTATTTGAATTCTACAGAACTACAGAATTCGAATAAAAAAATTTTCATCAAATTTGATCAATTGGTCGCCGAGATATATTTGATCAAAGATTTGTAACCAATTTTGGCGCAGCTTCTATAATGTACGTTTTAAAACTTTACACAAAATTTGATCGAAGATATCTTGACAACCAATTGATCAAATTCGTTGAAAATTTTTTTATTTGAATTCTACAGAACTACAGAATTCGAATAAAAAAATTTACATCAAATTTGATCAATTGGTTGCTGAGATATCTTCGATCAAAGCTTTGTAAACAATTTCAGCGCAGCTTTTATGTGATATACATTTTTAAACTTTGATCAAAGATATCTCAGTACCCAATCAATCAAATTCGATGAAAAGTTTTTTATTCGAATTCTACAGAACTACAGAATTCGAATAAAAAACTTTTCATCAAATTTGATCGATTGGTTGCCGAGATAACTTTGATCAAATTTTAAAATATTTAAAATAATTTTGTGATAAAATTGAAATGATCTGCAGAAACCATGGTGCAAATAGCAAAAATCCATAGTGCGAATAGCAGTTCCCTATTTTTATTTAGATAATTACTATTTATATACTAGTATATATATGTGAGAATATTATTTTTTAAAATTTTAATTATAGAATTACCTTTGGCTTATAGTAAAATTTTGATATAAACTAATCTTTACCTATAAGCAAAGATTTGATTTTTATTTATAGAAATTTTAATTAGTATATTATACAGATTTACAAAATAATACTCATATATATATAGTATATAATTGGGTTTTTTTATTTATATTATTTTGATAATAATAACAAATTTATATTTATAGCATGTAATGGTTGGACAAATTTATCAATGAATCAATTTGGGGTTTTCTTATTTATATGTCAGATCATTGCAAATATCTATGAAGTTTAAAGGATTTATTAGCTCAAAGTTATACTGCAAATTTAATTGCTGAAGAACTAGAAAAAATAATTGAAATTATTGGTAGTAATAAATTTTCAGCAGTAGTATCTAATGCGGGATCAAATGTTCAAAGTGCACAAAAAATTATTTTAACAAAATATAACTATATATATATATATATATATATTTTTTTAATATTTAAGGTGAGACCTTGCTCTTATCTTTATTAAACTTAATGAAAACTT